TTGAAAACCCCAGCTTATGGATTCTGCTGCAGACTTTGTGTATGAAGACTTAGATAACTTGCTTCTCAATTTTACTTCTGGCACTTCACATGATGAGTAGGTTACACAAGTCAGTTGCTAGTAATCTATTCAGATTCCCTACATGGATTAAATAAATATGAGAACTTGGAAGTTCCTGTATTTGAACATAAAAAAGTCACTGCATAGTGATTTTGCCTTAACAACAGAATATTTAAGTCCTACAAGAAACTTTGTTCAATAACCTTATCTGCTTTTCTGTTCTTTCTCTCTTGTTGTATACGTATATTATGGCCTTGATGCAAAGGTGTTCAAGGATTTTTACCTAGCCCACTGGCGTTAGTATTGCGTGGGAACTGGTTACAGACAAATTACTGGGCCTCATTCCAGAGTTGCTCAATCACAAGGATTTCATATGGTCCCCCCATAGTTTATACTTTTAAAACGTCTATGAGATTTTGTTCTTTACCAAAGTTTTGAAAACACCCTGCTATGCATGTAACAGATTTCTCCAATTTCTGTAGTGTGTTTATTTGATAAAAAAAAAGAATCTTCTGCATCATCAGATTATAGGATTAAACACACTTAAAGTTACAAAATGCTTAAGCACAGTAGCACTGAATGTGTATGGATAGCACATTTCTTTGATCCGCCTTTTTAAGAGTCACTGCTCAGTTTGGCTAAAACTGTGTGCATTTAAGAAAACATATTTGTTTTAACTCCATGCAGAAGCGAGAGAATCTTCTGCTTAGATCTTTATTGGAAAGGTAACACATTTTAAAACATGGGATATGCTCTTCTGATAAAAACAACTTGCTATTCCTTTCATTGAGTTCCAGCCATTATTTGCCTTTGGTCTATTTGCCTTCCTGATGAGAAAAACAAAATGTTTTTTACAAACTCCAAATACTGATTTCTTCAAAATATTTAGCACAGCCAAAGTAAGGATAAACTGCTACTTATTTGTCTGCATAAACCCTCAGTTTTATGTTTTTTAATATGACAAGGAGTAACTGAAAAGTAGACAACAGAGACAGCAATGAAGAAGAGTAGAAAAGAAATTCCTTCTGGTTTCTTTTATCACAGCTCTGAATTATGGCTATAAGATCTAATGTGAATCACAAGTGATTCAACACACTATGATGCCTTTAACAGGCCAAATTCAAGATTGATAAATCAAAGGTTCTGAAGCCTCAGTGTTCAGGCAGTGTGTAAATTATGACAGTACATTTTATTATCACAGGGTGACCTGGTGATAACAATGTACCTGTGGATATAAATTATGTTGTTAAAAACAATCATTCATTTAAGGGGTATCCATTGAGCACTCACAGACCCACAGCAAAACCAGGAGGAATAAGACAAATCTCACACTGAACGCGTGCAACATGAAAGAGGACAGCAAATCAGTAATAAAATAATTCTGAGAAATTGTCTCAAACACTCTACAGCTGTTTGTTAGTCACGGCTTAGCTCAGATTTATTGTTCATTTATCTATAGGACTTACTATAGAGTTTAGTGTATAGCGAGTTAAAAATAAACTGAAACTTTTCAATGTATTCTCCTCTGAATTTTCTTAATAACATTTTATAAAAGCTCCCATTACATAAGACTGTATATTGCTTAGGTTTTTTTAATGTTTCCTACACGATAACAGTATTTCTGCCAACATAAATTGTCTATACATCTAAAAGCTCTGTTAAATTATATTCTGGGTATGTGTCTTAGAAAAGACACCATGACCACAGAAAAGCTTATTTTTTTAATTTATTTATTTATTAAAGATTTTTGTCTCTTCCCCACCACTGCCTCCCACATCCCTCTCCCTCCCCCAATCAACTCCCCCTTTCTCATCAATCCAAAGAGCAGACCAGGTTCCCTGCCCTGTGGGGAGTCCAAGGACCTCCTACCTCCCAGAAAATCTTATAAAGAAAAATACTTAACTGGGGCTCACTTCAGTGATTTATTCCCTAGGTGGCATGGCAGGAAGTATGGTGGTTCACAGGCAGGCATGGTGTTAGAAAAGGAGCCTAGAGTTCTACATCTGGATCAGGATACAGCAGAAAGAAAGAGAGCTACTGAGACTAGCTTGAGCATTGAAACTTACAAGCCACCCCCAGTAACACACTTCCTCCCACAAGGTCAGGTCTACTGCAACAAAGTCAATCCCTATGAGCCTATGGGGGCCATTTTCATTCAAACTACCACAGTGTGTTTAAATAACTTAAGAATTTATATTAGTTTGACAACAATGACTTTTAATGATTGTGGTGGTAGCTCATGTCAGCAGAGTGAAAAATCATGATACTATAACATTTTATTATAGCATTTCATACCACTGCATTGTGGTGAAACTCGGCAGATCACTGCTCACTGAGTTGGACAGTTTTCTAAATCAGAGTAAGTAGGTATTATGAAGGACACCAAACTATTGTTTATGTTCTTTGTAATTCCCCCCTGTGTATCTGAGTGGAGACAATAGAGTATCACAGAAACCTAGGGCCAGGAAGGAATTGAAAAGGACTTTCATCAAAAGTCTTTCTGTCAGCATTGAGTACCTTATTCCTGGGAGACTAGGTAATTCATTTTCAATGTCTTGAGGTTCACTTTTGTGTTGACTTGTACTTTGTTCTCTCGAGGTGTTCATTGTTTTGTTGATTGTATTAGAGGTTCTGTGAGCAAAGATACTTTTCTCTTATCCCCTCAACAGCATAAGAAATATATCAGAAGAGATAATAAAGCACACAATAAATAAGTATTTATGGCTCCTGCTCAGTATTTTGTTTTGTTTAAACATATGGACATATTTTCAAATCTGTGGACACCCTCTGAAAAGTTCACTTGATATTAATAAAAAATGAAACAATCCTATCTGCATTCATAAAAATACCGATGATCAATAACATGGATTGTTAGATAGCATAAAGGAGTAGTTATATAAGTTCACTATCTTGTTAAAAATTGTAAATATTGTTCCTAATAATCCTTGCTTCCTACAAAATATCTATTATCTTTACCTCTGGGCTCTGAGCCAGGCCTGCTGCCGATTAATAAGGCAGGACTGGAGAAAGAATGTAGGATGGCTGTATAGACTGCAGAAGTGATTGAAAGATACATAGTGGGGGATTACAAAGAACATAAGCAATAGCTGGGTGTCCTTCAGCTAATTTTGCATAATGTTCCTCTTACTGAGTTTACTGGCATATTTGGTGGTAGAGGTAAAAAAATGAATGGAGAAGAGATAAAAACTGTAGAGTCCAAATTTATTAGTCTGCTAAGAAATAAAATAGTATAAACCAGAGAGATTCTTGAATAAAATATTTTCTTTCCATCAACTCTTTCATTTTCAAGGGTTAGTTTGGCCCAAGCCAAATGAATTTCAAAGGAATATCAAATCAGTATTGAAAGATGCAGACCTGGAAACGATAATGTACCACATGCTGCTGAAGGCTTTAGAACAGACTCCTTTGGGTATCAAAGGCTCTGGTTTGGATGCACATTTTATATTAATTAAAAATAAAAATAAGAGCTCTCCTCTGTCTGGGGAAGATCCTAGTCTCTCTGAAGGGTTTGCCTGCCAGGCACGCACATTCGAGGTTTTGCAGAGATTATAATGAAATAATGTATTGATTTGAACTAACAAATGGAGAAGCAAGAATCAACTGGGACTCCTCTTCTAATAACACACCCAGTTTTCCACGATTCCTCAACTCAACGGTCTTAGACATACTGGTTCGGCAGGAAGCCAAGACTCTTGGCATTCTGCACAGGGTGTCAGGGTAAACAGAAGCTATGTAAAACTTTAATAGCTCCATCACTGAGAGGCAGGAATGAAAAGAGGAGAGGGAAAAAAATCTAGCAAAGACAAATACTGTGATTACCTTCCCACTGTGGCTCCACTGTGATTTACAGCTTTGTGGGGCATGAATTCAAAGAAACACAGTGGAAGGAACCAGAGATATTCCTGGCTATAGTTAAGAATTTGGAAGACTTTTCCAAAGAGCTGGCTTTGCACAGGGGAGCAGAAAGGGATATTTCACTGTCCCAGCTCAGTGTGATCCACTAGTTCTGCAACTGACTTATGTAGAAACTCTTTCTGATTTTAAGCCAGCTACACATTCTATGCAAAAGTTTTTTCTAGATTGCACTTTCATTTCCAATATTTTTATCAAACAAAAAAGTGTCAATGAGAAATACTTCTGCAGACCACTGAGGCAGAGGTGCAGCTGCCTGGTATCTGAAATGTTAAGGTAATGGCAAGCATGTGGAGGATAATGTACTGGCCAAGGAACCGTTGCTTCTTTAGACTCTGATAGATATATTTTAAAGACTTTCTGTAAAGCTCAAGCTTAATCTTTGAGAGCAATTGGAACACATTTTCTTTGCTTTGTATTCTTGCAAGTGGTTATTGATGTACTTGGTTTAAGAAGCAAACATGTTCCTGCTAAGCAGTTGGTAATTTAAATGCATAACAGCTCTGTGACTTTCATAATGTAAGTGATGACAAAATTTAAGAAGGAAGTAGTCTTGACTCCTTTTATTTATTGAACATAAGCAAACACAGTGTCCTGTCTTAACAGACTAAACTGGCTAATGCTGGTGGGTGTGCAGTTGCTAAAGCATTATGAGTATCTTTGCAAACACATCCTTTCCTAGGAAAGTGGTTCCTTATTACTATGTGAAAACTCAAAGCATATTTGCCGCTTCAAATAGTCTTTCATGCCCAAACTGAAATAGCACTGAGAACCAGATTAATATGACTGCACAATGCATCAGTGAAAGGTGTAACTCATGTCAGAGAGACTTGAGTACCCCAAAGGGAAATATTAACAACAGCGAGCATTTATGCTGCGGGCATAGATTATGTGCTCATTTTCTTCATTCAGTCTGTGTTAACGGCTAGCTAGGAGATGTCTTTGTAGTAGATATTCTTTAAAAAAAAATGGAACATATGGAAAATAGGTATTTAACTTACCCGTAATATTTACTTGGGAAAGGCGGCGATGGCTTAGTTGATAAAGTACCTGCCACGTTTGCCTGTAGACCCAGTTGCATCCTGAACACCCAGTGCAAATCTGGACATTGTCATGCACACTGTAATGTTAACACTGAGGCTGGGGCAGGCAGACAGAGTCACAGCTGTGCAGGCTTTCACTCTAGACAGCTGATGAGAACCAAAAGACAGATTCCACTTTAGCAAACAACATGGAAAGTGATAGAAAGGGACAACCGATTGTCAACCTCTGCTCCCAAATACAGGTGCAGACACGATGATATAACACACACATACACACACACACACACTTTATACAAACACAAAACCCACTAAAAATTAAAAACAAAAGAAGCCTAAACATATTATTTGAGCAATCCCTTGTAGCCTCGTTGACAAATGTACAGCCCATTTCTAAGGGGGCATCACTCTCCAGGGTATCTTCAATCAAGAAAAAATTAAACATTTGTCAACTAAACCAGCTTTAAAGAACTGTAGCAAAAGTAAAGCACAGAATTTTAATTAAATAAATATCCTGTGGTAAATCTCCTTCCACTAATCCAGGCTGCATTATGAAAAAGGATTTCTATATGTCTTTTTGGTGGGAGGTGTGGAGGAGTGTAATGTCAGCCCAAATTGGAAAAGTTGACAGACAGGAAAGTGAGGAACAAGTAGACCACATGTATGTTATGTGACAATGACTGCTAGTGCCAGCATGGTTCAGCCAGAGCAGATGGGACTTGAGGTGTGCTTAGGTATGGCCAAATTGACCCTGTATTTGTCAAAGTGTTGTGATTGGAGCGGCAGGCTATGTTTCTGGCACGGCTAGTTTTTTTTTTTGTTTGTTTTTTGTTTTTGTTTGGTTTTGTTTTTGTTTTTCGAGACAGGGTTTCTCTGTGGCTTTGGAGCCTGTCCTGGAACTAGCTCTGTAGACCAGGCTGGTCTCGAACTCACAGAGATCCACCTGCCTCTGCCTCCCGAGTGCTGGGATTAAAGGCGTGCGCCACCACCACCCGGCCCGCATGGCTAGCTTTATACCCGAAATAATTACACAGAAACTGTATTCTTTTAAACACTGCCTGGTCCATTAGTTCCAGCCTCTTATTGGCTAGCTCTTACATATTGATCTAACCCATTTCTAATAATCTGTGTGGCCAACGAGGTGGCTTACCAGGGAAGATCTTAACATGCATCTGTCTGGAGTGGGAGAATCATGGCGACTCCTAGACTCAGCTTCTTTCTCCCAGCATTCTGTTCTGTCTACTCTGCCAACCTAATTTTCTGTCCTATGAGGGCCAAGGCAGTTTCTTTATTAGTTAACCAATGAAAGCAACAGATAAAATACAAGACCTACCTCCATCAGTCAAAGTATTAAAATGTTTAATATTATTTTGTAATTATTATGTTAATTTACTCATTTATGTAATTTTAACACAATATTAGGATATTTAACCACTTTTGTCAGTCTTATTAATTCAACATAATAATGATGAAATTTGTGTCATATTTAAAGTGTTACATCTAAAGATTAGCAGGGTCACATTCTTGATATTTTTTAATATCTTAAATTGTGCCTTGAGCTTTGTGTTCTAGAAGGCTCTTAGTTTTGGTGTATCAGTTGATGATTAGTTCTTCATGACAGGCAGTCATAAAACAAATGCAAGACAAATCATCCCTAACAGTATGCCTTTATTTTAGAGAAGTAATTTAGCCGAGGTATACTTCATTCTCTTTAACATGCCATATTATATAGTTTCCAAGCAACCAAGCATCTTGGCAAACTATGCTCACAAATGTCTCAGGAGCTATGGGGGGATAATTTATAGTCTTCTTTTGATCAAGAACCATGAGTTATAGATCCTTTATGAGAGGAAATTAGTTGAACAAAACACAACTAACCATATATAACACATTTAATTCATTACCTCAATTAGCCTTGGCTTATAAACTTTATTATTTGGAAATGCTTCCAAAAGATCTCATGTGAAAAAAATCTCCTTTATGAGGATCAAACATGGCTTTTGCTCAACCATGGACACTTTATGTTGAATACCTGAAATATATATGTATATACATATATATATATTTCCTGCTGCTTCTCATTGCCTCTCAGAACAATATACTTAGCAATGATTATTTTCTATCTATATCCCAGTTACCTTCTCTGTTAAAATATCTAGCTTATACACTAGTAAGATTTCCTATATAGTAAGAATTGCTGACATTTATGTCACAACCTACACTAATACTGCATTCTTTCTTTTAATTCAATATGTAATTTAAAATCCTGTTTTTGTAGTAGAGACAGTCTTAGAATGTTAGAAATAATGATATATATATATATACAGTATTCACTACTTGTAGTTCTGCTTTAAAGTTATATTAAAAGTTGAAATAATTTGTAGGTCAAAGCACATCACTGTCGTTTTCCTACTTGTATTAAATAACTGTTGAGAGGGCTTTCACTGCTTTGTTCTTCTCAATTAAATACTGGCTCTATGTACAGAATTAGAATAAAGATTGGTTTATGCTTCAAAGATACCACCAATTAAGTGATAATCTAATGTATTCTGAAACCTGTTTTGTTTTCAACTCAAAGTCTGTATCTGTTGCCAATTATACCCCAATTAATTCTAGTTTCAGTGTGAGAATATTTTCATTTCTCACTGCACTAGAAGAGTGCCTTTAACTGAAGCGTCTCTGATCTTCTAGTTTTGCATATCTTTCAAAAATCATAAGCTATATGACACACAGAGATTTACTCATTGCATTTCAATAGGCTATGTTGTCCACTGAGATATTTGATCAGTGCATCAAGGATATATAATTGGTGTATTGAAATCAAAGGGAAAGAGGAGGTCAAGTACAGTTAGATACTACACTGCATATCTTGATTTTTGTGGTTTCTGAACAGAATTGTTTAATATGCATACTTCATAAAAGGCATTATGCCACACACTATAGTGGTATATAATAGGGGATTTTAAAATGAAGATTTAAGAAATGCAAATATCCTGCAGTAATGTCGAATATTAATTCCCAAAGAATAATGACTTCTTTCTTAATAAGAGGGCGAAGCAATACTATGACATTCAATCTGTGCTGACCCAAGGCTTAATACTGCCCCTTCCTCTTACTGAGTATGGAACATGGAAATAAAATATCTCTAGTCTTTAGATCCTGAAACATGGATTGTCTGTGCAAATAATACATAGATGTTTGAGTGTGTGAATTAATTTGAAGCCAATTCTGAAACATGGCAGAGGTATACCTATATCTGCACCCAATCAGGCCAAAGTAAGAGCTTTCTAGCTCCAAGCACCTCCAGGAAGCTGTGATAATGGTGTACAGTGATACACAGGCTAGTCCACAAATCGTTCCCCTTCAAGCATATTCACACAGAGAATATTCAGTAAAATTTCTTCTTCAGAGAGCTCCCAGAGAGCTAACCCAAGATAATTATGAGTTTCTCCCTAAGAAAGCTACATAAATCACACTAAGTTAACCTAACAACAGAGTCAGGGAGAGTCAGCAAGATGCTTGAGGGAGCAAGAACAACCAGATATTTTGCAACCAAAATACCAATGATTGTTCTTGTTAACTGATGCATGTGCTGAATGAGCCACATTATTGTCTAGATGCTCTACATTTATACCTTCACCCTTCCAAAGGTCTTCTGAGCTTGCTGCTTATCGTCATTTACAGGTGGAATAAATACAGGGAAATTCGGTTTGCTCAGACAGAAACCAAGACAATTCCCCAAGATACTCAGCTCCTAGATATTCAATCAAACACTGAAATGTAGATTCATGGATATGAATTTCTGTATATATGATTAAAATTCCAGTTTAATGAACACAGATAAGAAGATTTTCCAAGTAGGTTTGCTTGACAAAATCATATAAGCACTTTAAAGTTAAAGAGTTTTCTCAGGCTGCAGGATGAAAAGAAAGTGTAAAATATAAGGCAGAGGAAAGATGTTAGAGATATTAATATTTAGATGCTGTAGCTAATGAGATGAGAAGACCAGAAAATTTCTTACCTAAGAAAGGAAGAATCATGGTAATACAGTATCAAGAATTTTGACTTTGTCTACATTCTGATTAAGCATCATGAAGGACACTACTCCTCATGTTATTCATATTATTACACTTAATTTAGTCAATGCATTAATTACTGTCTTGTTATAATTAAGCAGTAAACTTATCAGCACAATATCAACTTCTAACTACAGAAATGTAAACTGATAAATGGGTATTATTTCAAATGGATCTTTACAGTAATTTGTTAAGCAACCATTAAAAAAATAAATCTAATTACAGTAATGACAGTACATACTAGGAAGCTCTATGGAATTAGAAGGGTTAAGACACTGAGATAAATTTCATCCCCCAAAATATATCTAGACTGGAAATAGAAGTGAGGCCTCACAACAACAAAGTGGCCATGGGAAGTAACTTGACATGATAGGCCACCTTATAGGAAGAAAAATGCCCTTAGGTATCCCTGAGTCTTGTGAGATAATGAAAACAGACCCAGCCTGGTTGAGAAATGCAATCTATCCGTAGTCTACACAGTCCATTATGAGGTTGCTGTCAGCTTGAGAACTGACAAATTTTGTATCACCTACGAGATTCTTAGAGATGCTGAATGTCAGCTCCCAACCTAGACCTAGTATGCTGGGATGTGCCCTTTAACAACTGTCACTAGCATGACCTATTTGCATACTACTACTAGAAAAATATCAAACTAAGGACAAACTAGTTACTGTATAACACTGTCACCTTGCTAGTAGAAGTCGAAGGAAAAGGAATAAAGAGTTGGATTTTTTTCGTACTATGAAATATCTTTCACTTGAGTTATAGTGATACGAATAGCTTATAATATTCTAATGATGAAACAAGTGCAGTATACAGTAAGAGAATATTGATTTACAAATCTTTGAAGAAAGAACCGCACACAGAAAGTGTAAAGGTTGCTTCAACTGAATGGTATATGAAAGGCCTGACAAAATGTGTGTTTATGGTATGTGTTCTAATGTATCTTTCACAGCTCACATCAAATTACTTCCTGTGTAAGCATTATGTTTGATAATACCTTGAATTGCATGTAGAGCTAGAAAACTACAACTAAGAAGAATCCAATCAGGACTAATTGCATGTAGAATTTCTAAAGCAAACTGTACAATGTCAAGTTCTGCAAACACACCTTTAAAAACATTCAGAACTAAGAAAAGAAAGTTTTGAAAATCAATTCCATGAAGCAGGAAGACAATTTTCATCTCCATGTAAAATAAAATTAATAAAATCAAATACTTTATTTCTTTACAGAATTCTTTGCCAACATGCTAGGCAGATAAATTTAAATATATAGAGTTCTTTAAAATTGACATTTTTTTCCAAGTGGAAACTAGAATTACTTGCAGATTAAGTCTGTTATTTTTCCCGGGGCTGTGGAGTAATCATGAATGCAGTATTGCTTGTTAGACAGATAAGGTAGCCAGAGCAAACAGCAATGAAATTCAGAATATACAATTTCTATGAAAGATAGGTATTGAGATCAAAATAAATTATTGCAATTTTCAGAAATGATCAAGGAGCTGATATGATCCTCATCTTTTTTTCAGAGAAGGCTGTGTATAAACAAGTATTACATGTAATACTTGCCAAATGCAGCTTTACCATAATGTTTTCTGTTGTGAGAGAACCTTCTGTCTATGTGTTGCTTTTATTGGTTAATGAATAAAGAAACTGGCTTGGCCTGATAGGGTAGAACAGAGCTAAGAGGGGAAAACTAAACTAAATGCTTGGAAAGAGAAGGGAGGAGTCAGGAGAGAAGCCACATAGTCCCGCCAGAGACAGATACTGCAACTTTAGCTGGCAAGCCACAGCCAAGTGGCAATACACAGATTAATATAAATGGGCTAAATTATTATGTAAGAGCTAGCTGATAAGAAGCTAGAGCTAATGGGTCAAGCAGTGATTTAATTAATACAGTTTCAGTAGATGAATATCTACTGAATGGATATTTTATTAGGGGAAAATAGAATTTCAAAACATTCCACTACTTTCCCAAAGTAATAAACCAGAAGTTGATTTAACAGGAAACATGTTTGTAGCCTGTTAGAAGACTGTGCTGACACAAACACACTGTCATGTACTTTCCATACTGTAATTCTTGGGACTGTCTGAAAGTAGTCATTTTATTTACATTATATGTATATGTATCTTATATATATATATATATATGTATATATATATACAACTTAAGTTTCCATGATTCCTTATACTATTTGAATAAGTACTGTGCCATATAACATTAAGAATGTTCTTTTACACTTTTGTAATACTATCTTTAGATAAGAGAGATTGTGTGTAGATTTTGTTCAGGGAAAGACAAGATGTGTTGTGACAGAGTAACCATCTATATGTACTTCTTCAGTACCATATCCTGTCTCTTCCATCAGTATAAATTATAAACTTTTTTATAATACATTCTACTGACATGGGCTTTAGCAGTCAGTTCTGTGGTAACCAAAACAGTTCAACATTGTAGGTGGGGAGCTGAAGATGGAGAAATTATGCTAACACATAGCAAAACTGTCATATTCTGTAACTGAGTGTAAGTCAGAAAACAATCGACAAGGTACATAATGTGCTTTATTTTTCTATCTATCTATCTATCTATCTATCTATCTATCTATCTATCTATCTAATCTATCTACCTATCTATCATCTATCTACCTATCTATCATCTATCTATCTACCTATCTATCTACCTATCTATCATCTATCTATCTATCTATCTATCTCTACCTATCTATTATCTATCTATCTATCTATCTATCTATCTATCTATCTATCTATCTATCTATCTATCTAAGATATGGCACTCCAGGACAGAGGGACAAAGATGAATCCTAGCATGTGATAGCAGTCACATAGGCAAAAAGAAATAATAAATGTCACTTATGCTCTTAAGTACAGGTGAATATTGATGGATGAATAATAACAAGAGTTATTGCACACAAATTAGTGTATGTTACAGTAGTAAGGGCTAAAATTAATGCAATTTTTGATTTGTTTTCTTTTTTGAGGCAAGGTTTCTCTGTGTAATAGTCCCAGCTATCCTGGAACTCATTTTGTAGACCAGGTTTGCTCCTATCTAACAGAGATTTGCCTGCCTCTCCCTCCTGATTGCTGAAATTAATGGCATGCACCACCACCACCCATCTCATAAACTAAAATTTTAATTTGACACTCAGCCCAATTAGGGAATAGAGTTCCTTGATAAGTTAGATGTAGATAGGTGAACAGGACTGTGAGGTTTGTGTTTATTTGGAGGTTTTATATAGGCAATGAACTCCACATAATGAACGAAATCCAAATGGCATAATGGTGCAACTGTGAAAATAATTAACCATAGTTACTTTCAAGGTAATTGAAACACTCAAATTTTAATAATTCCTTATGCATTATTTATGTGTATTTATGATGTATGTTTCACTTATACTTTGAGTATTCAGAACTCCAGAATTGTTATTATAAAATCAGAAAATTAAGGACAGAAATCAATGCTATTAATAATGTTGGTATTCCAAAAGACACAAAATTAGGATTTTTAGATAAGATTTTTAATAAATAGTTTTTGTTTTTGTATTAGTGAAGGGGATTTTGAAGCAAGTTTCTTTTGTAGCTTCTATAGGGGAAATTTATAAAAACTATGTACAAATAAACTCACCTGGGTTGAGTTCATATTTTAAAAAGTATTTATATACTTAATTGTCTCTTGTCTATAACTGTAAGGCACAATTTTTAAAGAATAAAAATGAGTGTCAAAAGCCAATTTCTGTAAAAAAAAAAAAAAAAAAGAGGAAGGTAAGGAGGGAAAGAGAGAGGGAGAGAGAGAATGTAGTGCTGAGACAGAAGTTATGGTTCCATGCCCAAAATTCAGCCTGAAATGACCACCTCAAAACTTACCTTGTCTTATTAGCATGACAAGGGTTCATTTACTTTCTTGCTGCAAATTTTTTATATTTGGATTTTCTTGGTCTTAATTAGTTATCTGCCCCTTGGCAATGTTTAGGTTTCCTGCAGTAGTAAGTGCACAAAAGCATTAATGATAAATCCAGAAATATTTCAAAGCACCTATATAGTCTTTCATGTAACGTAAAGAATACCCTTGGGCTGAGAGTTGGTGCAAAACCTGACCCGATTCTTTGATTTCAGGTAATTATTTGAATTCATTAAAACTGTTAGTTTCTATAATTATCATTGTTCTGACTTTATTTTACTATTTTTGAAATCAGCAAATTACCTCATCTTTGTATTTCCTTTCTAAGTTGGAAGATTTCCATGAGTTTCAAGTGTTGTTTTGAACTTAAATAGAATACATCCTGAGCAGCTCCGTGATGCAGAGAGGAATAAAGGTGTCTTTGGAGAAAGAACTTCAAGTGCAAATTAACTTGAAATAATTGAACCTGAGTGTGGAATAATTTGCAGTCTTTCTTCTATGCAGCTGCGGGAGTTACTTCTGCAGGCCCAGGTGGCGGAGTTGCCTGGCGACTTCAAATTTTGTCACATCTGTCAGGTGTAGTAAAATAAAAAATACAGTAAGAGGCAACCTTACATAAATGTGGGACATCCCTGCAGGGTCTTGTCTCTTTGCAGCAGTGAATAAATTATATGAATACAATGTTGTTGATTTACCAACCCATGAAATTGGAAAGAATGGAAAAATTAATGCAAAAAATAAATAAATAAAACACTTCTTAGATTCATTATTGCAGGTCTCTAAAGCCAAGAAGCATCTATCTACCAAAATCCTATTTTCTAAATTAAAAATAAAGCAGGCCACTGTTATCTGAGAAAGAATGAACTTTTTATTTTTTGTGCTTCCTGCTTTTGAAAAATTTAACAAGGAAACAATCATTGCATCATATTTAGGTATATTCCATTCAACAAATTTTATTTTTAAAACAATTAATATTACATGGAAACAGACACGCAAGCCATCTCACAAAAATGAGTCCGTCTATATAATAAGGCTGATATTAATTAATATTATTTGTTCTATAAACATAGACAACATTTCCATACAATGAGGGAGAAAGTATGCAATAACATGTAGGTATCAAATGCTGGAATAGTTAACTACAAAACAGCAAGGGCTTCTCGTATTTAAGTGCACTTAATTGATACTCTATTCCTGGTGGGGGAGGAACTTTGTTACTTTCTCTTCTAATAAGGCACCTAAGTAGGAAACTAGGTGACCTTCAGTAAGATCTTCCCAACTACTCAGTTCCTGGCATTGGTGTATATATAGGTCATTAAGTAGGTAGGAGATTAAAAACAATGTCTGTCTCTCTCATCTGAAGATTTATTTTTAGGCTAGGTAATGAGCAGACATATGAGGGTGCTTTATAAACTGTGAAGCAGTGGTTACCAACCTTCCTAATGTGTGACCTTAAGAGAGTTGCTCAGGTCGTGGTGACCTCAAGCGATGAAAATTATTTTCATTGCTACTTCAGAACTGTAATTTTACTACTGTTCTGAATCATAATGTAAATATCTGTGTTTCTGATGGTTTTAGGTAACCCATAGGAAAGGGCCATTTGACCTTCAAGATGAAAACCACTGCTATGAAGGATAAATAACAATCCTTATCCTTTGCATGAATCTAATAAGCAAATAATATACAAAATTTCCTCACACCCTTTGCTTTTAACTTAAGAACAATTGTTTATCAAGAAAGTGATATAGTCTCCTGCTACTTTTCTTTAGTCATTCAAGAAATATTTAGCATATATTAAATACTAAATTATACAGAATGTCATACAACACATATAATTATACCAATCATCAGTATCAATAAGAAGTTTGTAGTTGCAAAACACAACGCTCTGAAGCAAACATTAAAAAGTTAAAGAGAATGAGAGTAATGAAGGAGCAGTTTCATATATAGGAAATGTTACATTAATATATATTTTAACACTAATATTTATTTGCTAATAGGTTAAGTAAAACTCATAATTGAAAAACTCACCGGAATCTATTGTTAAATCCACAGGAATGGCAAATACTCTGGCCAGGCAAATTCAAAAGTTCTAAATCTACTGCCTTTACTTAAAAATTGAAATTCCACATAAAATTCTTAGTTGCAGCTTTTTAAAACTTCTGGTCCAACAATAGCAATGGGTCTATATCCTACCCAAACCATAATCAATTATAGCTGGACTCATGTCACCTTTGGATAGGATGTGCTCTCTCTCTCTCTCTCTCTCTCTCTCTCTCTCTTCACTGATTTGTGTCAACTGCCCCAGTGCTTGTAAGGATATGAGTTCTCAAGCCTCAGTGTGTGAAAGGGATTCTTGTCTAACATCTATATAAGATTTTACCTTCCTTTCCTTCCTTACTTCCAAATTTTTAATACTGGGATAGCCCGTCTTTGTTTTATGAGTTCTTCCTTATATTGATTTGATATTATTCTCCTGTTTCTTCCAGGTATTTATCCTAAGCATATTTAATCACATTATAATCACATAATCATCTGCTTTTCAGATTGTTAATATTTACCATTCTGATAATGGTACTTGATTGTACTATGACTATCTAGGAGAAGAGTGATGTTTACCTGTGAATATATCTGTGAGGGACATTTCAAGAGAATTAAATGAGAGAGAAAACTCATACTGAATATGAGCAATGCCATTCCTTTGGTTAGGACCATGGAAAGAATATAAAAGGGAGAATGAGAAAGCCAGTGGAGCTCAGGGATCCCCCTTTCCTCACTTTCAGACCTGCTGTGACATGTACAGCTGAGCTCCATCACAGCCTCCCTACCACGAGGGACTGAACCCAATGAAACTATGAGCCAAGGTAAACCTTTCCTCTCTCAAGTCACTAATGCCCGGCATTTGATCACAGAAAGGAAAACAACTAATGCAACCATATGTCATTGTTGCAATGTAATCTGCCTTTCCGGTTTTTATTGCTATCCGAGCAGCCACATAATTGCAGTTACCTACAGAACTTCTAGATCTTTTTCTTTTTGTTCCAACTGTTCAAAGACAAACTAGCTATATTGCGAGAGCATTCATTGTCATTGAGGAAAAACCCTTACGCTCTGTTTCATCGCTTGGTAACTGACTTCCACATTCACCATATGACAGTATTGAAATCTTCTGGACTTCATACTTGCTCCATTCAGCAGTTACCTAACTGCCTCGGACTTATTTCTAGTCTGTCATCCTTATTTACAGGTGAAATACAACAGGCTCCTAGCTCCCTTGCCATCAGTCCATGCCTGCTGTATCTTTGTTCTGATGCTGGAAGTGGGTGCTTGTTAAGATTTCTGTCTAATTTTAAATTTTCATTAATTTGTCATTATGCTTAAGCTGAAGTTCAAACTATTGAACTCATCTCTCAGAATCTTACTTACTTATTCACTTACTACTATGACTCAACTTCTCTTTGAAACAATAACAAAGACAATGGAGGACACAATATATTTTGAACTCTGGTATCTCCCACCAGCACTGATTATTGTTTGGCATTCAAGAAAATTAATTGAATAAATCAATAAGTTGCTCATTCTACATTAAGATGCCCAAGTTTTCATAAATTCTAAGTCATTCACTTCTCTATTTCTGACAAACCAGCTCTTTGTCAGTGTTCTATTTTAATCAAGGTGTGTTATGATCAGAAAGAGATGGATAGGAAATATAGCTCTATGATGAGAATCTATGAACCTTAAAGTCCAATAGAGCAGACTTTATGTCTCATTCCATTTGAATGTTACCTATATGATTTTGAGAGTTTTACTGGTCTCACTAGCTCTTTATTCCTCCTGTGTAAAATATGAGTAATAATATTTGAATGAAAGATCCTTTTTTATATTGAATGAGACATTTTAAGAGTTCTGGCACATGTCCAATAAATATTTAACTTTTTGCATTAACTTTATATTCAAGCATGCATTGTGCCATTATAATATGTAGTAATTATGCTAAATCATCCCCCAGACATTTATTTATAATTCTTTTAAATAACTTATAAGTGAGTTTAATCATATAAGACAAGAACTCTAAAGTGTTAGTATGTTTGGGTTAAATGCTGAAATAGGAAGCATACTTAATATTTTCAACTTATGTTGAAAATAGCTATGTTCACAGTTAGTTTGCCCACCCAAGATATGGTCTGGAAATCAAGCGTCTTCTGATCTCTGTGAATTATATGTGATAATCCCAATGAATATGGTGATTATATATCGATTCTGACTTATGAAATTGTATCTGGTTCTTATTGGACTGGTGGGAACATATTTGGTTGTTCTTTTGTATAAGCACTTTTATTTGGATTTTACCCTGTACCTGAATATATGAATGTTCAGTGTAACTTGGAAAACAGATAATGTTTGCATTTTGTTGGCTGACGTGCAATAAGAAAAAAACTTACGAAAACTATGTCTGATTATTCTTTGTATCAATGGAGATCAGATGGTTCCAGAGGGCCAAAATGTGACTCTCAGTGGCCTGAGCATAACAGACTCCAGCTACTTTTCTTTTTTAATATGTGTAATACATGGAGACATGCAGCAATTATTGTAAATGACATCCCAAGGGTTGACATTATAGAAATAGATAAAAAGATGAAGTCACCAGTTATTTGGAATCAGGTTAGAAAAATAAGCAAGATAAGCAATAGGACAAGTCCCTGGGAGACAGTGAAAAATCACTGATGGCTAATCTGACCCAAAACCCTTCACATACACTTTTGTTCACTGTATGTCTTCAAATCTCAACCTGAAAACTCTTTTGAATATCTTAATAAAGGTAATGAGTGGGTTGTTGAGAAAAATGCTGACATCAAACCATTTCTCCAACTTTTATGAAGGAAACTCTACAAAAATATTCATTGACATTTCAAGAAATTAATAAGATGAACTATTTAGGGCAAGTTTACATATTATAAAATATGAAAGAGATAATATTTGCAATAATGTTAATAACACCTGTAATGCATCAACTCTCATGTGTTATAAATGATGAATTGATATATGACAAAGCTTGTGTATATAGTCTCTATTAGTCAACAGTGGCTCTGCAATTACTAACTTTGTTTTCCTCATGAGAACAACAGGGAATAAAGATGGAGACAAATTATTCTGAGGTCCTTAACACTGATTTTTATTTTAAAGTTTATTTCTTACTATGTATGTGTGTGCACGTGCATGCCTATATGTATACTATGTTCATGTCTGGTTCCTACATAGTCTAGAAGAGGGTGTTGGATCCTCTGTAACTAAATTTACAGCAAGTTGTGAGCTGCATTGTGAATACTGGTGCAGGAGAATTATCTGTATTCTGTCAATCATATTTTAAATAAAGGCTGATTGGTCAGGCAGAAAATATAGGCTAGAAAACCAGACAGAAAGTAGAAATGAGGTAATGAGAACAGGAGAATTCTGGGAAGGAGGAAGCTGATTCCTTGCACTCCTGCCCAGATCACCGAAGCAGCAGGATGTGATCTACCCCACTGAAAAATGTACTGAGCCACATGGCTAACATAGATCAGAAAAATGGGTTAATCAAGATGTGAGAGTTAGCCATTGAGAGGCTAGAGCTAATGGGCCAATCAGCTTATAATTTATGGAGACCTATGTGTGATTTTCTTGGGGGCTAAACAACTATGGAAACCTGACAGAAAACCCCAACAAGCAGGCCCCCGTTCATGTTACAGAACATGAACAAGCCCCCTACAAGAACAGTAAGTGCTCGTAAACACTGAGGCATCTTTCTTGCTCCAAAATTCACTATCTTTTTAGGCATAACTACTATCATGAGGAATCATAAGGAATATATTAGATATTTCACCTGCATATTGTCCTAGAACACATATTTTAGGTTGAGATTCCTTTTATTTTCAAGTACCTAGGGTTGCAACTCAAAGAGCTCAAGAGCCCTCTGGAGAGCCATAGACAATCAAAAATATCTTTTACTGTAGTATTTCAGCTACTGGCCTTAAATTATTGTTTAAAGTGTAACATTTTCTACAAGTTTAGATACCGTGTAGGATCCTTAATGCACACAATTTAATATTTATGTCTGGACATCTCTATCGAAAAGGCAGTTCCAGCATTTACAAGGCTTTCCCTAGGACAACATCCTTAACAACTGAAGCATGCTTTCTTTTCCTTGTCTTATAACAATGAGCTTCCATGTTCTCAGAACGAATGCTAAGATTACTCAGGGGAGGGGTTAGGAAAAGATGGCAAGGGTGTGGTTCACTGAACTGTGGTCTAGCACACTTTCACAAAACAGCAGAACTAACAGCTAGAGTGTAGCTCATCAGCAGACTGACTGACTGGAAAGTAGAAGTCCTGAAATACCCCAGCACTTAATGTCATCCTCCCCCACAGCTTTTTATATATGTTGTATACATTGAGCACTTACCTCATATTATGGATTAATTTTATATACTTAATTTTTTTTAACTGTGTTCAGTAATGTTAGTGGATAACATTTGGTAACTGGTTCTCTCTTCTACAGTATGTTTCAGGGATTAAGCTCAGATAATCAGGCCTGTGCAACAAGTGATTTTACCACCTGAGCCAGTTTTCCTACTGTTCTTAATTATTTGTCCTTTACAATCATTTGCTAAAGTGAGAAGGCAATGTGTTAAATATGGCTATTCTATCTGGCCATGGGAAATGACAGAGACTTGGTTATGGAAAAATACACTGGTAACTCTACTACTAGTTTCTGTGTTATTTAGATAGATCTTGGCTTCTCCCTACCTATCCTGAGCTGGAACTGAGACATAGGAAGCCCACCAGGCCTATTAGGAGACTGCTCTTGACTGACACCATGAGTGAATAATCTTTACAGTCTAAGTTGTGGTTAGAATTCTTCGTGCTCTTCTTGTTTATGGATTCTGTGTTTCAATGATGTCATGTGTGACTCTAAAAGGTTTCCCTTGGACTTACTGCATCTCTGAGTGCCACACTAACATATGCCATTTCTGAAAATCTTAGATCCCAATATTAATGATAAGCTTTTAGTTTTAAGAGAAACAGTAATTCTTCTATGTTAACTTTTTAACTGAAAACTATGCCTTCACTTTTATATTTTCATAGCACATCTCTTAAATACAAGCTTAGTGGCCCTATATTTTATTTTAAATTTTTATTGATTCTTTGAGAATTTCATATCATGTACTTGAATCCCATGTACTTCTTTGTTCTTCCATGCCTGTTCTGCAACTTGTAGCCTGTCCCCCAAAAGAAAAATTTAAAAAATAGAAATTTATGGTGATATGAAAGATATTCATCAGTATTGCTATAGGATAGGGTCATTTCAGGTTCCCTATCCTCAGCTTCCCAAGGGACTAACTGGGGACATCGCCTTGGGCTCCTGGGAGCCAATCTAGGTTCAAGTCTCTTGCCAACACTAAGGTGGCTCCTTTAACTAAGATATGTGCTTCCCTGCTCCCCTATCCAACCTTCCTTTATCACAATCTTCCTGTTT